GCCTGTCCCAGCTCCCCAACCTCCAGAGCACCTCACAGTGTAGGTTTCTGCACGCAAAGCCGACCTCCAGGCCTGGGTGTCCGGCAGGCCCAGGCTTCCACCCTCTCCCTGCTCCACTGCTCTTGCTCCCGTCGGTGAGCGGGGGTTGGGGGAGGGCTGGGGTCCCGCTGGATCGCGGCTGTGGTACTTTACCCTGCCTCGTGAGGTCTGCTGTGTTGATGTCTATATGCAGTCTGGTTCAGCCTTCTTTCCAGTGCTGTTTTAGGGTTAGTTGTATTAATCAACTATATTTCGTACTATTTGTGGTTTTGGGAAGTGTTCTCTGTCTCACCTCTCACGCCACCATCTTGTATCCACCTGCTAAAAAGTTTTTGTGTGCCCCTCTTACCCATCTCCTGGGAGGTCCTCCTTCTCCCAACGAGTCACCCTGTCACCCTTTTCTTTCCTGATAACAGCTGGCTTTGAGTCTCACACTGACTACCAGAGGCCCAGACTCCAGCCCTTACCGTTCACTCAAAGGGGCTGGGATACAAATCAGTCCTGAGTTCCAGATCAGAACTTCTAGAACCACCCTGAGAACTGGGCAGAGAGCCTGGAGTTTCATACCTTTCTACCTGCCCCTTAGGCTCATGTGTCAGGAGCAGTGCTTCATTTTATTTGGGGACATTTACTAAGAAATGCACCAGTCCTTGTGCTAGGACCAGGAATACAATGAAGAATAAAATGCTGCCCCCTGCCCCCTGCCCACCAGTAGCCCAGCGAGAGCTGCAGAAAGTACAGTGCCAGGCAGAAGAAACCAGATTCTCCAGGAAGCCCTGTTGCTACGCCAGGACCATTTCTTCTACTGGAGAAGCCAGTGGCATCCAAGCTGAGTCCTGCAGAGCACGAGAGCAGTAACAGGGACAAGCTGGCAGGGGGGAGATAGCCTAGGTCCAGGGAGTAGCATGTGCCAGGGGCAGAGGGAACAGAGAGACCGTGGAAGTGGTGGGGATCCATGACTTCGTCTGTGTGGCTGAAAAGTAGGGCTTTGGTACAGCCAGCAATCGGAGCTGCTGAAGGGGTCTCAACATTGCTGTGTTGTGAAAAGTCTTACGTTTTAAAAAGATGACTTTGGCTGAGTAGACTGAATGGAGGCAAAACTGGAAGTGGTGAGACCAGTTAGGAAACTGTAACAGAAAACTGAGCCAAGGGCCAGATGGTGACTTCAACCAAGGAAACAGGGATCAAAGAATTGGATAGATGAGGGATATTTAAAGGCAAAATCAACAGGGCAGGGTAATTGAACCCATGTGGGAGGTGATGGGATGTGGAATGTCAGTAACCACTGAACTTCAAGCTTTCTAGCATGGATTCCTGGTCAGTGATAACATATACTGTGATAGGGAACATGGGGAGAGGAGCAGGCTGGGGGAGATGGCAGATTTTGTTTTGGATATGTTGAGGTTGGGGGTGCCTGTGAGGTATCCAGACAGACCACTAGCAACCTGGTCTGAAGCTCTGAAGAAGGTCTGAGCTGAAGATAGAGATCTGGGAGTCATCAGCTCCTTGATGGTATCAGAATAGATTAGGCCCTCAAAAGAGATGATATAAAGGGAGGAAAGGGCCTGGGGTGGAATTCTGGGGAAGGTCAACCTTAAAGGCATGGTTGAAAGACAAGGAGTCTCCCTGAAAGGCTGAGAAGAAAAGACAGAAAGGTAAGAAATCCAAGAGCGTAGTGTTTAAGAACCAAAGAAATAGCATTGGAAGGATAAAGTAATGGTTAACAGTGGTGCTGCCAAGAAATCTAGCAAAACTAGAGTTGATAGGAGCCTGCTGGATCTGTCCAGCAGGAAGAGGACGCTCGCCGCCTTGTGGGAGAGCTGCGCGCGTCTGAAGCGATCCGGGTTGGACGGGAGGCTGCCCCTCCTTGCTCCTCCGCTCCTTGCTCTGCGGAGTTGTGCGGGTGTTCCTTCCTCCTTGGCCCTTGATTTAGGCCTGCTTCTCAACATGATGGATGCCTGGCTTCTCCTGTGCCAGGAAGAGCCAGTGGAGACCCTCCCCAGAGGAGGGAGGAGTGCAAGCTGCCCTCCAAAGGGGCGTCAGCCCCTTGCTCAGGGGACTGCTGCACTTGGTCCCCGTGCAGCCACTGGGGCAGCTCCTGGAATAAACTCTTCCCCAGAGTGGTGGAGGCCATTAAGTGGCTCCCCCAAAAGCAGCAGTTTGTCCTCACCGAGTCACGTTCCTCTCTAGCCGGCTTCCTGGGGCTTTCTGGCCTTGTGCCCATATTTCCCCTCAGTGTCTGAACTCTCTGAAGGCCCGTCTCCTGTCCTTTGCTGCAGTTGCTGGCTTTCTTTTGAGAAAGATTACCATAGTTAGTAAGCAGTTACATGTATGTCAAGTACCATGCAGTTCTTCACAACAGCATTGATTTGACCCTCATAACCTCACCTCGAAGGTAAACGGCAGCCTGTTGTTATCAGATGACCAAGCGAAGGCTCAGCGAGCTGAAGATGTGTCCACGTGACACTGCTGGTAGGCGGGGCCAGTCTCTGGTGCAGATAGGCCTGCTTCTAATGCCTGTGCTCTGCTCCCCTGCTCCGGGGCCTGTGGGCGCTGTGGTCTGCTTTGAATCCTGTGCGGTGAGGGGGTGCCTCGATGAGAGGGAGAGCCCATTGGGGGCACAGACACGGGTGAGTCGCACGCCAAAACTCTGCAGTGTCTTTCCAAAGGGAAAAGAGTTCATCGTGTTTCCCTGAGATGCAAACATTGTGGGGAAAATGAATGGTTTGGTGTCTGTAGAATACAGTGCTCAATTCCCAAAAATTTATTTGGAGAGTAGAGGTTACCTCTTTGGCTTAACAGCATGTGTCATCTTCCTCCTTTTGGGAGACCAGTAAATGACTGTCACTGCCTCTACCCCTAAGCAGGGACCTAAGCCTTTCTTGCTGCCCATCTTCCCCTGTCTTTCTGCTCTGGCAGCAGGTCGCACTGCCTGTGAAGTGGGCATAGTTCCAGGGCTAATCTTCCAAACCTCCTTACTGTGGCTTCTCTGAGACCAGAGGGGTCTCAGCTTTGAATGGCAGGAAGCTAGAAGTGATTTCATCAGCAAGTGGGTGTCCAAGGCAGCTGCCAGCCTAGGAGTCTGGGAAGCCCTCACCCGCTGCTTCCTCTCTGACCAGTACCGTAACAGTGCCAGGCAGCATCGACTGAGCACTTCCTGTGTGTCGGCCCCTGTTCTAAGGGATGTGCATCCTTGATCCACACAATGTGCTGTCAAGTAGGTACTTCTAGCATCTACAGCACCGCCCCTGTTAGCTAACTGTTGGCTCAGGAAGGAGAACTTTGACTGGCAACCGATCGACGAGGATTTAGAGCTTTGGTGCTCGCTGTGAGTTTCTCAGGAGCTGAGCCAGAGGAGTCCTGGAAGAGGTGAGCCTGGAGCTGAATCTCAAAGGAAAGGTGGGTCAGAGTTTGACCAGAGAAGGGCTTTCTGATCAGGGAACGTGGTGTGAGCAGGAGCAAGGAAGAGCCTTACAGTTGCAGGGGAGAATAATACCAGCCTTGTGCAGCGGAGAGGGCTGCAGAGGCGGAAAAGCCCCGTTGATGAGCAGCGTTCAGGCCTAGTATGTCGCGCAGTGAGGGGAATGTTCTTGGTCAAAAGCAGTGTTCTAGCAGTGGCGTTACATGGGACAAGATCTGGGCGGACTCCCTGGTGACAGACCCAGCATGCGACGCGACACTGAGGTGTGGGACAGTGGGACACTACCTCATAGACCTGGTCTGCAGTGGATTTGGGGCCCCTCTGGGACCTGGCACTGCCAAGAGCTCTGAGAGTGACAGGTGCCAGGAGGCACTCATTTGGTATCAGGCACAAGGGTTTGGCAGGTCTGCAGGTGACAGTGCTGCTTCACCTTCTGTTCCAGGTTGAATCCCAAAAATGTTCACCAGAGACCTACAGTGGCCCTGCTGTGTGGGCCCCATGTGAAGGGGGCTCAGGGTATCAGCTGTGGAAGGCACCTAGCCAACCATGATGTCCAGGTCATCCTCTTCCTGCCAAACTTTGTCAAAATGCTGGAGTCCATCACCAATGAGCTGTCTCTCTTCAGCAAGACCCAGGGCCAGCAGGTGTCCAGCCTCAGAGGTGAGTGCTTGCGGAGGGCCGGGCTCAGCCCTCTCCCAGGTAGTTAGAGTCTGGCCCTGCCACCCAGTGGCGGCGGGTGGAATAGCACCGCGAGTGTAAGGAGCGCTCTGCCTCTCCTGTCCCTTCACCCTCCTCCCGCGCCCATCGCTCAGACGGAGCGCCGGGACCCGTTTGTTCGCTTCACAAATATTTACAGAACTGGCGCTGTACCTGACACTGGGGATATGGCTATAGTGTCAGTGGAGGCAGATGAAGCAGGGAAGGGTCTAGAGAGTCGGAGGCTGGGGAGGGGAGGGGCGGGGTCACGCATCGCATTGCAGGCTCAGGTCGTAAAGGGCCTGAACTTCTATTCTGGGCGAGATCATCAGTCACCGGAGGAGTAAGAACAAAGTGTGAGCAGCTGGCTATTCCGGCTTCTGTCTGAGAACCAGGCTTCCAGTGAGAGGTGCTGAGAGGCTGCTGCGGCGCATGAGAGGGACGGCGGCTGAAACAGTGGTAGTGCTGGAGGTGCTATGGGGCGGTCTGTTCTGAATCGGTTTGGAAGGTAGAGTCTACAGATTGGATGCAGGGTATGAAAAAAAAGGGATAAGAATGACTCCAAGGCTTCTGACTGGAATGACTGGAAGGATGGCGGTGCCATCACTGAGATGGGAAGACTTAGGAGAGGAGGTTTGGGGAGGAAGAGCTGAAGCTGAAAGATGCCCGTTGGTTATGCAGATGGAAATGTTAATTGACAGGTGAGTCCCGAGTAAACTGAAGGGATCGGATCTGGAGTCAGAAGTCTGTAGGTGGAATCTAAAGCTCTAAGGAGCCTGGGTAAGATATCTTCGAGGAAGAGAGAGTAGATAGAGAAGTTGTTGGACTGAGTGCATTGTTAAGAAGTCAGAGAGCTGAGAGACCAGTTAAGGGGATAGGGAAGGAGTGGTCAGTGAAGGAGAAGGGAAGTCAGGTCTGGTCCTGAAAGGCAGATGAAGAGAGGAGGGTGTGCTCAGCGTGTGACCAGCGGTCAGCAAGCCATTCTCGGTCCCTGGATGAAGTACTGGGGAAGCCCCTGGGGAAGCTGACAAGAGCAGTTTCAAGTGTAGTGGGGCAAAGTCTGACTGGGAACAAGGGAGAAGTGGAGAGAAGAAATTTAAAAAATGATGGCTTGCCAGGGGTCAGGCAGCAAGTTGGGGGCAGAGCCTTGGCCAGAACCTCAGTCTCCTAATGCCCAGGCCAGACTCCTATGGATACTCCGGAGACACTACTGTCACTCTGGAGAGCCTCGTGGTCCACAGGACCCCCACCCCTCACCCCACAGCAGCCTGTTCTACATAAGGAAGCCATGAGTCTCTAACTGAGGAATATAATGACTTTAGGCGGACAGCTGGGAAGTGGGGCTGCTGTGGGTTCACCCTTTTGAAATCTTCAGCATGATGCACTATTCCAGATTCTTCCTCTGATGCCCAAAAGTCTTCCTGTCCCATCTGTTTGAGGAAGCAAGTCTGACCCTTCAATTTGGTCTGATTTCTCCTATTCTCAGTTTAACCTCTAGGGCAGGTCAAACTTACGTACTTGTTGAGATACCTATTCTTAAAATTATCCCAGAAGCCTAGTTAGAGGAGAGAGGCTTTTTAAATGCCTGGGAGAAGTGATAGGTTCCCTCCCCCTTTTTAAGCCCGGGCTGTAAGGAGAGCCCATTCCCATGAGATGCTGAGAGGAGCTGGCAAGGCCAGGCTGGCCCCAGCAGGGAGAGTGGGCCACCCGGAGCGAGTGAGAGAGACGGTCCTGCCTGCTCACACTTCTCGGGCCAGTCAGCAGATGGCAGTCAGCACGTTTTGATGAGCCCTGGGCAGGGCCTCCCTGTGAGGGCTGATTTGGCAGGAGACCCCCACCTTCCCAGAACTACATAATGTACCAGGAAGTTAGTGGGGTGTGCAGAGGAGGTGAGGCCTTTATGGCCTGAGAAGCTATGCATACCCCGCTGGACAATGGAGAGGCCTGGGAGCTCCATGAAGACAGTGTTCCGTTGGCCTGATATGTTCTTGGTCTGTGGCACCAGAGCAGCTGGGCCTTGGAACTCCTCAATACCAGCCCAGCCTTGAGAAGGCTGGCCAGGCACCAGACTGATGTCTGAACAAGATACTCGGGGGGCCACCTGGGTTCTAGTCCCCACGTGGGCTGCTCTCTGCGTCTAGGGGTCTTCAGATGGCTCTTTCCTCCTGCAGATCTGCCCACTAGCCCCGTGGACCTGGTGATCAACTGCCTGGATTGCCCTGAGAATGTCTTCCTGCGGGATCAGCCTTGGTACAAGGCAGCCGTGGCCTGGGCCAACCAGAACCGGGCACCAGTACTCAGCATAGACCCTCCTGTGCATGAAGTCGAACAAGGCATTGATGCCAAGTGGTCACTGGCTCTGGGTCTGCCTCTGCCCCTGGGGGAGCATGCAGGTCGCGTCTATTTGTGTGACATTGGCATTCCCCAGCAGGTATTCCAAGAGGTGGGCATCAACTACCACTCACCCTTTGGCTGCAAGTTTGTCATCCCTCTGCACTCTGCCTAGAAGGGCTCTGGGTGGACTGGGCCCCGCAGTGACCCGCTGCTCCCGACACTGAGCTTGACAGCGAACGCCTTAAGGATGTGAAACTTCATGGACCTTGATCAATTTTTTCTCTTTTGGGTTTATTTTTCCTGTGAGAGAACAGATCATATTTAAAACTGACCTATCACCTGCCCTTAGACAGGGAAAGCTCCCCCACTGGGTGTGCGGGTTGTCGGGCGGCCCGCTGAGCGCAGTGGCTCCAGGCATCTCTATACTTGGCCTTCTCCTGCATGGCCAGGCGGGGCTTTGTTTACAGACATAGGCAGCTCACAGACTGTGTTTCAGGTTTACAGCCACGGCCGGGTGCACGCCTTACGGGGGGTGGGGCGGGTCCTGGTTGGGGGCCTGTGTTTGCTCCATTTCAGAGCTTGTGGCTTCCTCTCCGGTTTCCCCCAGTGAGCCCGTCAGCCCCTCCTCTGATCACGTAGAACTGGCCGCGCTGCCGCCTTCCACTGGAGGGCGGACTGGCACGCTCCATTCATTTTGGGGACTGGGGTGAGGCTTTCTGAGCCTCACAAGTTTATTTGGGGATTTTGGCCCTTTCTCCTGAGCTGATCCGAGTTTCACGCTGGGATTGTTGTCAGCGGTCCCCCCTCCTTCCCGTTCCATCACTCAGAGACGGGGAAGGGGGCGGCATTAGGATGGTTTTACTGCACTGGGATTTCATACCGGTTTTCGGCTGTTTTCACAGGTATCATAAGGTTATGTTACTGTAGAACCGCAGAGCCCCCCAACTCCATACCCGCTCTAGCTGGGGGCTGAGCCCTCAAGGTGCACCTTTAATGTTCAGTGTTGGGGAGCCCCTGGGGGAGCCTGGTGCTGAGTCAGAGGAGGCTCCCTGGTGCTTCCGTCACCCCAGAGCAGGGTGCATGGCTGTCTCGTCTGGGCTCTGCCCCAGCTCTTAGTGTCGGGGCTTTGAGCCCTTGGTGGTTGTCCAGTCTAGGTGAGTAAGCTTGGGGTCGGCACCCTGTCTCAAAGATGCCGAAATGAGGCTAGTTCTGAATGAGCTACCTGGTGGGGCTGTCACAGGATCGCACTGCTGCTCAGATCCTATGGCACGGAGTCCCTGGACCTTCCTAGGCCTTGGAGGCTGCTTGGTAGGACAGGAGCCATGCCCTGGAGTCCCTGGCACGGGCCCTTGTGCTTTCAAGCCTTTTTCCGGGCTCCAGGCATCCTTCTGCCCTGTGCCCACCCACTGTGGCTCGGGGTGAATGGGAAGGCTCACCACGGATCGAGGATGCGGTAGGCCCGGGTAGCGTGGGTTTCGGGCTACCTAACCGCTTCCCTCATAGGAGTATAGCCAGGAGCAGACGGAGGGGGGCGGGGGGCGGGTCTCTCCTTCCCTCCCGTCCTCCCTCAAATGTCTCCAGCAGCGGGAGAAGGCCAGAGACTGAGCCCTGTGCTGTGCATCCTCCATGGGGCTTCGCTCACTCTCAGGGCCAGGAAGCTCCCAAGTGAGGCCCTTCCTTTACTGGCAAGGCCCGCAGTCCGAGCAGCAGGGCTGGACTGCTTACAGGCATTTTCGTAAGTAACCGTTAGACAGAGTCTGGCTGCCTGTTGCAGTCAGGCCCTCTGACTTGGTACAGTGGAACACCAGTCAGAAGAACTGTGTCCCGGCAGACTGCTTGCTCCTGACCCAGGGTCAACTGCAGTGGCCCTGGGTGGGTGATGGCCTTTGTTGAGGGGCAGTGGGAGTCTGCACCCAAGCCGCTCCCTCTTCTCTCCCCAGGTGGCACTGGAGCCTCTTCCCACCCTTAGCCTAACCCCAGTGGTATTAAAGATAAGCATGACTCCTCTGTCTTCAGCTCTTTTCAGAGGCATCCTGCCCAGAGTGCCCAGTTCCCAAGGGGCCCAGCCAGCTGGTCACGACCATAACTCATGCAGCTCTTGGGGAGCCAAAAACCAGCACTAAAATAAAGCTGAATGGTGGAGTCCTGTGCTCTGGTAAACTGCTCTCTAGGCTGCAGTGAGGGTGCTGCCACCCCAGCCCTGGGTGCCTGCCTTGGTCGTCTCATACTTGGCAGCCTTCAGTAAGCCATACTTTTTGGGCATGTACAGCCTAAAGTCCTGGCCAGTGACAGGGCTGGAAGGACAGATAAAACCAGGTGCTGCCTGGCTAACTGCAGTGGGCCATTCCTTCCAAGTCCGTGGGCTTGAAGGCCAGGGGCCAGCAGGGGAGCAGGTCCGGGAGGCCAGGGGCTTGCTAGGACGGTTGGGCTTCTGGTCTCCCTGCTGTGCCTGGCCCAGTTCACACGTAGCTCTGCACAAGCTGAGCTGCTGAGAGAGACTATTAATAAGGTAGGGGACGGAGAAGGCAAGGAGCCTGGAGATGGACACGCTGGCACCGGGGGTTACAAACAGTAGGAAACACTTTATTATAACTTTACAACATATAAATAGCTTGGGTCAAATCTGTGCTTTCTGGCAGCTGGACATCAAGTTCCCTCCCCGCGGGCTCCCGCCTTCCTTCACATTGCACTGTTCATCGGGTGGCTCTGGCCCTGGGGCCTGGTGGGAGAGGCTGGAGAAAGGGGGCCAGGCAGCCCCAGTCCCGCTCTCCGTTTGCTCCTGTGGTGGCCTGTGTCTGTCATCTGCTTGGGTTGCGGCTGGTGTGGAAGGACCGCTCCTCAGGGGTGAGGCCAGCAAAGAAGGGGTGCAGCAGGGCCTCCGCCAGTGTGATGCGCTGGGCAGGGTCAAATTCTAACATCCTCCTCATCAGGTCAAACAGCTGCACGTGCTCCAAGGAGTCTTGGAGCATGTAACTCTGCTCAGGGACACAAGGTGCCTCAGTGTGATGGCAGGGTCGTGGGAAGCCACAGCAGGTCCCCTGGCCTCTGGGAAGCCTTGCTGCATGGGCTGAGGAGGCAGTGGTGCCTCCCTGGAGGACTTCTGCCCTCCAGGACAATGAGCAGCTCCTTTCCTTTCATGCCCGTGTTGAGCACTTTGCTCTGGACTTGTCACTACTGGGTGTCTTGCTGGCTCGGTGCCTCTGCCCCCACATGCAAAGTCCTGACAGGTAGAAATCACCTCTGCGAAATTCACTTGTCCAAGCATCAAATGCAGTTGACAGAGGCTTCCTGGCCATGTCTAGGTCTTCCCTCCCACTCACCTCACTCCTGCCTAGTTCTTCTCAAAACTGAGAGAAGAGGGGGCAGGAAGCAGCAGGGTCTCGGACATCTGGCTCTTCTGGTGTTCCCCAGTTACATTCACAGCCACCCTTTGGGGGAGGGGGGAGGGCTAGGGGCCCCTCAGGGGCACTTTGCAAGAAGCCCCGCTGCAGCACCCAGCAGCCTTGGGTGCAGCCTCCCATAGAGCCGGAGCGAGGAGGCAGCGTTTAGCTGCCTGGCCTGTCTCTGCTGTGTGTCTGCCCAGTGCCTGGGGTCTCCTTGGCATGAGTTGAGCTGGGGGAAGCCAGAAACTGACCTTCAGAGGTTTGCAGTTCTCCTTCACATACCGGCCATCAGAGCTGTTCTCATCCCAAACCAGGCCCCCCTTATAGAAATATTTCTGCTTTCTGAAAATGAAGGGAGAGAATCAGGTCTTGGGTCAGGGGTTAGGAAAGACTGCAGCAACCTGGGGATTGGCAGCAAAGCCAGGCAGGGGCTCCTGGCCTAACCGAGCAGGGCAGAAGGTCTGGGCAACAGGTTTGCCTGGTCACTTGGAAGCATGTACAGGGAATGCTACCTGTGGCTGGAAGAGCCGTGGGGTGTCCCGCAGAGCCTACCTAGCATCTTGGACCCACAGGCAACATGGGGAAGGCTGCTGAGGCTAGCCCCGCGGGAGCTGCCCGGGCGCCTTACCTGGTGCGGTGGACCATATGTGATGGAATGGGCCCTAGGATCTTCTCCATCATCACTAAATGCTCTCGGTTTTCATGGGTCTGTGGAAGGTCAGGGACAGAGCAAGCAGGGGTCAGTTTCAGCCTCAGCCCCGGCAGGGATAAAAAGGGACAGAAGATGGCCAAGTGCCCTCCGTGCTGCTGGAGATGGAGACCCGCCAATGCAACAGCAGTCTCAGCCTTTCAGACCTGGTGGCTGCCCACCAGCCTAGAGCCAGAGAGCAGGCCCGCTTGGGGACTTCTCTCCTTGGCCCTTGGGTGGACTCACTCATGATTGTGAATCTGGCTGCACCTTCACTCGCTTCCCGGAAGGTGCCCTGCCCAGCCCATCTCCGTGCCCCTCTGTCTAGAATGCTCGCTTCTTGCCCCTGCAACCCTCCCTCCTCGCTGGCTGAGCCCAAGACCTGCTGAGTGCCCCAGCTACTCTGAGCAGCCACAGCGCTCAGGAGCCTGAATCTCACACGTGGGCGGGCGGTGGCACAGAAGGGCTTTCCACGCCAGGCCCCTGCACCCCTCAGCAGCAGCGCTCAGGATAGTGGGGCTGGGCAGGAGTGGCCTTACCTGGAAGAGTGTGAAGCCCCGGTAGTACTCAAAGAGAATGCAGCCAATGCTCCAGACGTCACAGGGCTGTGCCCAGCCCAGCTCTGAAAGCCAAGATGAGGAGAAGCTCGGAGATCCGGCCCGTGCCCCCAGGCTAGAGGGCACAGGGCAGCTGCCACACTAGCTGGCAGGACTCTTGCCCAAACCCTAGCAGAAGTCCCTTTCTTGGTAAGGCCAAGTCAGCCATCACGGCGACTCAGGACACTGGCCCCGGGGAACATGAGCGCTGCTGCTCACGGCCTCCCGCCGACTGCCCGCTTTATCAGGGTGGGGACTGTGCAAGCGCTCACCAAGGATCACCTCAGGTGGGCGATAGTGACGGGTGGCCACAATGGTGGTGTGATGCTCATGGTCAAAGGTGGCACTGCCGAAGTCGGCCACTCTGATGCTGGTGTTCTTCACTGCCTTCTCCTCACAGCTCTGGGGGCAAGGAGGTAAGCCAGGTCAGCAGCGGGCCCCAGTGGCTCACCCACCCCTGGAGCAGGGCCTCACCTTCTCACCCCCAGGTTAAGTACCTTGTGCTCATTGTAGAGGGTTTCAAACTCAGAATTCACAAACAGAATGTTCTCTGGCTTCAGGTCTGTGTGGGTCAGTTGGTTCTCGTGGAGAACTGAGGTGGCAAGAAAAGAAAAGCCGACGCTGAGAAACTGGGCCGCGTCCACTCTGGCTGCCCCACTATCCCCAGGTCAGACCCCTCCTCCAGAGCAGCCTGCCGGGGCCCCTCGCGCCTCTAAGCTCAGCAGCGGGCCAAGGAGACCAGGCTCCGCCTCTGCACTGGCCTCCCCAGAGTTCTCTGCCTGGGGCCTTGGAGAATTCTGAGACTTTAGAAGAGAGGTGCAGTGGGGGGGCTTTTTCCATTCAAAACACTTCCCTTCACCGCCCTTCTGCATGGGCCAGGCCTCCTCAGCCTGCCGCTGACCAGCAGCTGTGACACCAGCCTTGGAGTGGTTCCCCTCCCGAGCATCAGCCCCGACTCACAGTGCCCAGGGCAAGATGGAAATGCAGGTCCTCTTACTCAGAAATTACTAAGAATGTCAAGAGGTGATAAAAGAGCATTAAACAGGCACAGGGCCACCGTGAAGCCTGACCCGCCACTCTTCATCCCTAACCCTGAGCAGGGATGTCAGCCTTCTCCCTCCAAGTCCTGCCCTGTGGATGGTAGTGCCTCTCCACTCATCACTTCCAAGCCCTGGCTCCCACTGGCACTCAGGACCCTCACAACAGTGGGGCCCACCTCTCTGTACCCGACTACGTGTCCACACGTGCCAGGCTCTGGGCCGTCACTGAGCTGCTCAGCCTTGGTGGACTGTCCTTCCCTGTCTCCTCCATCTGTGCAGGGCAGACCCTGCATTGTCTGGCTCGAGGTTACCTACTGCCAAAGAGTGTCATGCTCCAACCACCACAAATCCTGTGGTGCTAAGCGTGGGCACCACCAAGTACACTCCTAAAGGTAGTCAGGCAGCTGGTAGGTGACGGTCAGACCAAGGGTGGCCTTGTGGGCAAGATCTGCCAGGTATCCTATGCGGAAAGGTGAAAGCAGGGCTGGCAGCAGGCCGGTTCTGGAGCAGCACTTCCCTCTCCTTCTTCCTGGCTGCCTGGAAGCAGAGGCTGGACAGGAAGCCCCTGGAGGGAACTGTAACCTCTCCTTTCTCAGCAATTCCTGACTGAAGGCCTTTTGGCCAAGGGGACCCCACCACTATCAGGCCCACCAGAATGGTCAGCAGTGCGCTGGAGTGAATGGGGGAGCGTGGAGAGCAGATGACTTTGCTGCAGGTAGTGGCCACCCCACGCTCCGTTCGAGAGTGGACACTTACATCTAAGGGCGTGGCAGAGCTGGTAGGCCATGTGCCGGACATGCGGTAGGGGGTAAGGCTGGAAGTTATTCTCCTTCAGGAACTCAAAGGTGTTCTTGCCCAGGAGCTCAAAGGCGATGCACATGTGACCGTGGAAGTTGAACCAGTCAGACATCAAGACGCACAGGCTGGGGGAGAAGGACGGGTGGGGCTTAGGCTGTGCTGGGGGACTGGCTGCCCCACCCCACCATCCGATGAAGCCAGTCCCCACTCCATCCCGGACCACTGGGTCACCCCAGGATGCAGACACATGAAGGAGAAGAACCAGTTGACAGAGCAAGAGCACGTCTCCTCCTCAGCTGTCACCCAGGTCAGCTCGGAGCAAGGGCTGGAATTCCTGCTGCGGGCGCATCCTGGCCCGAGGCCGCCCGCCTCACCTGCTCATGATACGGGCCTCGTCCCTGCGTCTCCGGGCTCAGCACAGTGCTCGGAGAGAGAATGCTCAGTGTCTGGCCAGAGGGGCTCTCCTGCGGGTACCTGGCTGCGCGAGCCCCAGACAGCTGCAGCTGATGCCTTATCTAGTGCCCACTAACAACCAGGGAGGGCCTGCATCCACAAAGGCAGGGCTGAGAGGCCTGCCTCAGAGCGCAGCTGGTTGGGGTGGAGCCTGGTGTGAAATCCAAAGGTTCCTTCCAGCAAG